CCCCAAAACCCCAAAACCCCAAAACCCCAGGTAAATATCCTAGATTGAAAGGATCACCAACATATAAACTTCTCAGTTAAACTTGGGTGAACTCTTATCTAACAAACTTAAAATATGTCATCATCCTCATTAGAAAATGGGATAAATGGCTTCTGAGGAGCCCTAGCTTGGGTAGCTTCTTGGTTTCTTCTGGGCAATGAGGAGCCTGAGACAACCCTCTGAGATGGCTCCTCGACGTAACTATCAGGGAAGGATAGCGGCTTTTGAGTATCATAAGGATTTTCAATATCGAAGGGATCGTTGATGATTTCCTTAAAGGAATGGAACATCGAGCAGCTCCTCTCGATTTTAACCAGCACCTTATACATGATATTTCCTTCAGCATCAGGGATTAGAAGAGTCTCTGCTGTCACATAGATATCAGGGACTTTAAGGTCTTCTGGAAGCTTTAATGCTTCTCTACACTTGTCAAGTTCGAACATCAAATGCAGTCTCTCTGTTGCCCATTTAGGCATTCTTTTACTGATGTTCGTTAAGCCTTCCAATAAACTTCCGTAGCTGAATCCACAGTCTGTCGGTTCTTTACCTTTGCCAACATGAAAGTAAGGGCAGTCAATAAGGATGCACTTTGTCTCATTTTCATAGTAATATTGACTAGTAAAGTACCAACTATTCACAGTTGCTGTGAAGTATCAATAACTAAATGAAATCTTTACCAAGGAGCGAAATTTTTCACAAATTTCCTTAAAGATATTTCCTTTACTAGCCACCTTGATCAAGAACCTATGGAAGTTAACTGTACTGAGTTTATTGGCGCTAATGCGAATAAGCATTCCACTATTCATTCTCAAGAATGAGTCTTCTCAATCGTCTTTCCTTCTTAATGTGGCTCCATATTTTGGCCCCATCTCGGGATCTGGAGAGTGAATCTCGATCGAATAGTTCTGATTTGTAGTCTCGAACACTGGCGGTTCTTCTTTTATCTCTTCCCTTAGGTTAAAGCCTCCACCAGGTGAGGATACCATCTCGTAGCTATCTTGTTCTTCAGATTCCATTTTCTTACTAATTATTATTTCAATCTCGGGGTTTAAGTGCGGGGTTTTGGGGTTTTGGGGTTTTGGGG